TATAGAGACAGTGAGAGGGGGAGACTGTATACAAAAGCTTAGCTGGTTATGTTAGGTATATCGACTACATTAAGGTCACCGAGGCTGTGGTGCAGTCCGTTCAGATATTGCATCATTAAATCTTGTATGTAAAATAGGGATTTAATAATCTATTCACTGTACACACTGACAGATGTGACATTATTTATAAAATACACGTACATATATATATATATATATATATATGTGTGTGTGTGTGTGTGTGTGTGTGTGTGTGTGTGTGTGTGTGTGTGTGTGTGTGTGTGTGTGTGTGTGTGTGTGTGGTGTGTTGTGATACTAAAAATCCTCGCCAAGACATCAACAAATCGCAGACATACTGTATGTTTCCACAAAACTGTTCAATATATGCTGATCGTAAATGGCGAAGGATTAAACCTAAATTCATTAAACCTGAGGATTAGTCAAATATATTCAAGGCAATTTCTCCGTAATCCTTAGACAACTTTCACTGAGAGCAAAAACTCAACCCCGTGAGATGAGAGTCGCTCTTGGCTCACTTCACAGTATATCATGATTTCAGTTTAACTTATGTTGTATCTTTGTTATGTGGTTTTGTTAAATGATTTGTTTTTGACGTGATCGTGTGAATTACAGCGTGTGGTTAGTTCTCCCTCAATGACTTCTCCGCAACCTCAGTAAATTAAGCTTAAGTGTTAGTTTGAGTTCTGTCAGTGTTTGTTTATACCTTGAGTGATGTTGCAAGAAAACTGATAACATATCTATAATAGGCGCACCTTAATGATCATGGTGGCTGTCTGTCTCTTTCTCTGTATAGGTAAATGCAATTGGATTCCTTCCTCTACGTCGTTGAAGTCTCCTTGTTGCGTGTCAGCGGATATGTGTATATTCTATATAATACCTAACAATACATAGTGTGTATTCTTTGCGTATTGCCTTCTGTGTATTAAAAGAATTCTTCACAATTCCTGAAATTATAAGTGTGCAGAGTCCAGCCACTTGCTTCATTATTATTATTATTATTATTATTATTATTATTATTATTATTATTATTATTATTATTATTATTATTATTATTATTATTATTATTATTATATTTTGTATCAAGTGCAAAACCTGTGAGAGTCATTCATCGTAAAAGTGATGGAGGCTCGATCCTCCGTCCGGTAGATGCGAATCACTCTAACCAATTTGGTGTTTCTGCCTTAACAATACATTACAGTGGGTAAACAAGGAAAGTAACTGGCTTGCGTCAGGGGAATTCTGGTTATAATAGCAACTAAAGTCATTCATTTGAGTCCTCGGGCTCTAGCTCTTGGATTCACTCTAGCTCTTGGGTTCACTCTAGCTCCTGGTCTGGCTCTAGCTCCCATTCTCTGTCCTCTGTCTTTCCCTCTCCTTCCACCCGTGTGGGAGCCCAGGACCACCTGCCGACACTCGCAACGGAACAGGTTTTTGCAGTCGTTATATTACAGGTTGTAAAATGGTCTTGCTCTTACAAATTTTCAACCAGCTATGCTATTTCCTTAAACAGTTTTTACAGATAACGTCATCTACATTTGACCTGTCTCTCGCTCTTGTATATGACCCTCGTGTGCTTTTTTTAGTTGTTTCTGATGATCCGTTAACCACTGCGTGGAAGAGCACACACCCGCTCCCAAACACGTACGTATTTTCCCTCCCAAACACACGCACCCACACACATACACATGTGCAAGTACACGGACGCATACACATGAACAAGCACACACACACATACACACATACACACATAATAAGCATACAGATTCAGACACAAAAAGATGAAAGTTCAAGAGAGTTCGTTTAATTGGAAAAAAGAGGGTGAACCCAGGATTGAGTCTTCACCGGCCGGAGTCTTCATTGTGATGATAAACAAAAGAGCATCGAAAAGTAAAAATATTCCCGCCGCTGGGTCACCTTCATTATGTCGGAAGATCAGCTGATATATGTATGTGTGTGTGTTGAGGGGGGGGGGTCATGTAATAAACTACTAGACTATCTTCAAGAGGTGAACTCTAGCTCTTGGACTCGCCGCTAGTCTGGTTTGACTTAAGTGATTTAGAACACCGTCTAGTGTGTCAGTGACCCCAGAAGCCATAAGCAGGCAGCAAGGTAGACCCTTGTGATGTGGGTGTCTCCGCTTCATCACTGGATGGCCTGGCACTCCAGTTTCCATTTGTGTTCTTCCCTTGTCCTAGATTTTAAACTTGATGTGCCTTTCTCCTCACCTTTCTATCTAGTTCTCTGTATATTCGCAGATGAGAGTGGAAAGTTTGCTTCTGAGATTATAGTTACGGTGCTGTTGTTGTTATGAAGTCACAATATGTAGAACAAGATTTTATTATAACATTTCGCTCAGAGCTTTATCAAGTGATAACCATAACTGTCAAGATTACAACTGTACATCCTTCACCACTGCATGCGCTGAATGACGCACACGCGTTTACCGCTTTACATAAATGTAATAACAGCAGTCGTCTCAACTCAGGCACCAGTTTGAATGCATATCTTTCGACTTTCTCTAGTTACGATTTATATTTTGCTCGGTTAGTAGCAATCCTGCGTAACGTAATCAAAGACTGATCTCAAAGATGTGCTGAAGAAATTACTGGAAGGATTAGTTTAGTATTCTGCAGAATATCATTATGTCTGCTTGGCACACGCCATTGCGTTATTCTCTTTCTGTGCACCCAAGTAGACACGCTTAGTTATTTCTGCAACTATGAGTTATTCCCCTTCATTTCAATAGATGGTACTGACTCACACAAAAAATAATTACTTTGCACTTTCTTGGGTTGAACTCTACTAGCCACTTGTTTGATCAGTCCTGTAGGTTGCCCAAGTACTTCTGTAGCATCCTGCTGTCCTTTTCAGTTTGTATCACGATCTTTTATATTTGAGAATGTACCAGCGTCGGCAGGTGAATATAATGTAAGAATAGTTGATGTTTAATACTAATCCTTGGGGGACACCGGTCATCCTGAAACTGTTCTTGGCAGTGCCTCTCTATCTTTCCCTCAGTCATCTCTTTCTCTGTCTTTCTCTACCATACTTGTCGGTAACATTTACCAGGCAAATCAAGTGAAAGTACACCTGGAAACGCAAACAGGTAGCAGGTCAAACATGAGACAAAAGTTAAATAACTGAAGTATATGTGACGACACAGGACGGTTGAAGGCTGATGAAGATGCTGGCGACGCAAATAATAGATTCGAGAATGAATGATTGTCTTGTGAGGCGTGATAAAATCATTAAGTGGTCACGACAGATCTTGTCTTTAAGACTCCGTGTTCACAGCCTCATGATCTCAGGAAAAGCAACATTTTCAATAAGTTTTCCAAACATTTTTCACTCTAGTTATTATTATTATTATTATTATTATTATTATTATTATTATTATTATTATTATTATTATTATTATATTCACGGAGAAGCGTTAAATTCTTGGATCAAGAGCCCTACACTAGCATTACGCCCCTCTCCTTCAAGGTAACTTCCTTCACAGTATATTCATGTGAATCTTCACGACGAGACTTCCGTCTAGTCTCCCTCAACGGGTCAGCCAGCCATAACTGGCTGGGAATTCCCGTCCCGAGTTCGTCACCTTCCGTTTCCACAACATTAACCCTTTACACTCTTCTGTAACACTGATTGTCAATAAAATAAATAATAAATGCTTATTCTTCTGGCACCCTGTTGCAGGAGACATAAATGCTGTTGAAAAACACGCGGAAAGACTTGCCCAGAATGTTGCATTAACAAGGTTACGTCCCTTACGTGGCTAGGTGGAGCAATGGGCGGGAAGATGTAGGAAAAAGCAGGGAACTCGTAGGAGCGGGCAAAGACAGGCGGGGGTGTGGCAGAGGGTGGGGAAATTGCAGGAAAGGGTGCGTAAATGGCGGGGCAGATGGGGAATTGAAAGGAGGGATCAGGGTATGTACCACTTCCTGCAGTTTAAACTCCTGTTCCTACCTCTCATCTTTCTAGGTGAAAAGTAGGCGAGAAGCGCTGTGAAAGACAAGGGTGGAATGTGTGAATACTAAAAATGCAAGACAGAGTAAGTATGGTAGGGAGGTCCGAGTGGGAGGTGAAGGCATGTCTAAGCTAGAGTGCAGCTCACTTGAAACAGATGAAAACAATGAATCTGTATAATGGAGAGTGAGTGTAGAATGAGCAGAAGAAAGTTTCATTATAAGTCTAGAGAGGTAAAAATCAAGTCTCAACTGAGTAGGAAACTAGACAGAAATCATCCGCCGTTAATAACACAGAACAATAATACATCCTTGGAATGAGACCAGACAGAAATTATATACCGTGACATTTCTGTTTATAACTAGAAGCAGTGTTAGGCAAGTTAGTCTCAGTATATAGCAAAGGTGTGTTTACATCAATATGATAATTTGTGCTTTTAAGAGCAGCATAAATTCTAAAGAGGAGTGTAAAATAAATATTCTAATCTTAGAGCATGATTATTTCAGAGCAGGAAGTAGCCTCTTTCATATCTGCTCATTTGCACTAAAGTCGTAAAAGTGCAGTTAAATGTTGCTCCAACACATGTAATGACTGACTCCATGAACGAGGCTTTTGGTGATTATTTTAAAGTCATTGAGGTTAAGGTGGGGTTAAGGTGTCATGGCCCTTCTGTGGTTAGTTACTTCAGTGGCCCTCCTGTGGCAAATTCTTTCATGGCCCTTCTATCTTTGGTGATTAGTTTTTCTGCAGTTATACAAATTGACAGCTTGTGTGTAGAAACGATGAAGCATAGGTCGTCTTAGTATATGTTTTATAATAGTATATGCATTATGTGACCTACTTATCCTTAGACAAATGCTCACTAGAATGCATCACACACACACACACACACACACACACACACACACACACACACACACAGCACACACAGCACACACACAGCACACACAGCACACACAGCACACACAGCACACGCACAAGCACACACAATAACTCATCCTTTAACTTACCATAAACCATGACGACAACGATGGCAGCCGTCAAGGCATAAAGCACCGTCTTCACTAGCGACATATTACCGTCTGTGACCTCTACTCGTCTCCAACCGCCTCTTAAGATCTCTCTCCACCTAAAACCTCTCAAAAGTCGACCAAGTGCTGTGTAAACTGCCTGATAGAGTGACTATGAGATGGGTGAGACACGATGCAGTTGGCCTGGGAAAAGTAGAGAGAAAGCGATCTTATGTCTCGGCACGTCGACTGCCACGGCTGGACTGGAAGGAATCTGCTGGAGTCACTCATCTACCTACCCCTGCGTCCTTGCCTTACTCATAAATTTTCGCTGGGTTTCGGGTGTTTTCATTTCATTTTGATGCTTCAAGATTTACTTGCTAACATATCCGTGGTCATTTTACGTATGAAATATCGAAAAAAATCATTAAACGAATGTACAGCAGAAATTGGATGGTGACAGCAATTTGCTTTCGATAACGGGGTGAGCTATGTATGCCTGAGGTCATTGAGTTTCTGCCCATTGGCACTAAACTTTGTTCTCCACATCCGCAAATTCTTGGGACTATTAACGTGAAGCAAGCAAGCGTGTGTGTGAATATAATGTAGTATGTAGGGATGGGAGAGGCACCAGGAGTACCTCCAAAGTAGTATGTAGGGATGGGAGAGGCACCAGGAGTACCTCCAGAGTAGTATGTAGGGATGGGAGAGGCACCAGGAGTACCTCCAAAGTAGTATGTAGGGATGGGAGAGGCACCAGGAGTATCTCCAGAGTAGTATGTAGGGATGGGACAGTCACCAATTGTACCTTCAGAATAGTATGTAGGGATGGGACAGGCACCAGTAGTACCTTCAGAGTAGTATGTAGAGATGGGACAGGCACCAATAGTACCTTCAGAGTAGTATGTAGAGATGGGACAGGCACCAGTAGTACCTTCAGAATAGTATGTAGAGATGGGACAGGCACCAGTAGTACCTTCAGAGTAGTATGTAGAGATGGGACAGGCACCAATAGTACCTTCAGAATAGTATGTAGGGATGGGACAGGCACCAGTAGTACCTTCAGAGTAGTATGTAGAGATGGGACAGGCACCAATAGTACCTTCAGAGTAGTATGTAGGGATGGGACAGGCACCAGTAGTACCTTCAGAGTAGTATGTAGAGATGGGACAGGCACCAATAGTACCTTCAGAATAGTATGTAGAGATGGGACAGGCACCAGTAGTACTTCAGAGTAGTATGTAGGGATGGACAGGCACCAGTAGTACCTTCAGAGTAGTATGTAGGGATGGGACAGGCACCAGTAGTACCTTCAGAGTAGTATGTAGGGATGGGACAGGCACCCGTAGTACCTTCAGAATAGTATGTAGGGATGGGACAGGCACCAGTAGTACCTTCAGAGTAGTATGTAGGGATGGGACAGGCACCAGTAGTACCTTCAGAGTAGTATGTAGGGATGGGACAGGCACCAGTAGTACCTTCAGAGTAGTATGTAGGGATGGGACAGGCACCAGTAGTACCTTCAGAATAGTATGTAGGGATGGGACAGGCACCAGTAGTACCTTCAGAGTAGTATGTAGGGATGGGACAGGCACCAGTAGTACCTTCAGAGTAGTATGTAGGGATGGGACAGGCACCAGTAGTACCTTCAGAGTAGTATGTAGGGATGGGACAGGCACCAGTAGTACCTTCAGATAGTATGTAGGGATGGGACAGGCACCAGTAGTACCTTCAGAATAGTATGTAGGGATGGGACAGGCACCATAGTACCTTCAGAGTAGTATGTAGGGATGGGACAGGCACCAGTAGTACCTTCAGAGTAGTATGTAGGGATGGGACAGGCACCAGTAGTACCTTCAGAGTAGTATGTAGGGATGGGACAGGCACCAGTAGTACCTTCAGAATAGTATGTAGGGATGGGACAGGCACCAGTAGTACCTTCAGAATAGTATGTAGGGATGGGACAGGCACCAGTAGTACCTTCAGAATAGTATGTAGGGATGGGACAGGCACCAATAGTACATTCAGAGTAGTATGTAGGGATGGGACAGGCACCAGTAGTACCTTCAGAATAGTATGTAGGGATGGGACAGGCACCAGTAGTACCTTCAGAATAGTATGTAGGGATGGGACAGGCACCAGTAGTACCTTCAGAGTAGTATGTAGGGATGGGACAGGCACCTAGTACCTTCAGAGTAGTATGTAGGGATGGGACAGGCACCAGTAGTACCTTCGAGTAGTATGTAGGGATGGGACAGGCACCAGTAGTACCTTCAGAATAGTATGTAGGGATGGGACAGGCACCAGTAGTACCTTCAGAATAGTATGTAGGGATGGGACAGGCACCAATAGTACCTTCAGAGTAGTATGTAGGGATGGGACAGGCACCAATAGTACCTTCAGAATAGTATGTAGGGATGGGACAGGCACCAGTAGTACCTTCAGAATAGTATGTAGGGATGGGACAGGCACCAATAGTACCTTCAGAGTAGTATGTAGGGATGGGACAGGCACCAGTAGTACCTTCAGAATAGTATGTAGGGATGGGACAGGCACCAGTAGTACCTTCAGAGTAGTATGTAGGGATGGGACAGGCACCAGTAGTACCTTCAGAGTAGTATGTAGGATGGGACAGGCACCAGTAGTACCTTCAGAGTAGTATGTAGGGATGGACAGGCACCAGTAGTACCTTCAGAAGTAGTATGTAGGGATGGGACAGGCACCAGTAGTACCTTCAGAGTAGTATGTAGGGATGGACAGGCACCAGTAGTACCTTCAGAGTAGTATGTAGGGATGGGACAGGCACCAGTAGTACCTTCAGAGTAGTATGTAGGGATGGGACAGGCACCAGTAGTACCTTCAGATAGTTAGTGATTGTAGGGATGGGACAGGCACCAGTAGTACCTTCAGAGTAGTATGTAGGGATGGGACAGGCACCAGTAGTACCTTCAGAGTAGTATGTAGGGATGGGACAGGCACCAGTAGTACCTTCAGAGTAGTATGTAGGGATGGGACAGGCACAGTAGTACCTTCAGAGTAGTATGTAGGGATGGGACAGGCACCAGTAGTACCTTCAGAGTAGTATGTAGGGATCGGACAGGCACCAGTAGTACCTTCAGAATAGTATGTAGGGATGGGACAGGCACCAGTAGTACCTTCAGAGTAGTATGTAGGGATCGGACAGGCACCAGGAGTACCTTCAGAGTAGTATGTAGGGATGGGACAGGCACCAGTAGTACCTTCAGAGTAGTATGTAGGGATGGGACAGGCACCAGTAGTACCTTCAGAGTAGTATGTAAGGATGGGACAGACACCAGTAGTACCTTCAGAGTAGTATGTAGGGATGGGACAGGCACCAGTAGTACCTTCAGAGTAGTATGTAGGGATGGGACAGGCACCAGTAGTACCTCCAGAGTAGTATGTAGTGATGGGAGAAGCACCAGTAGTACCTCCAGAGTAGTATGTAGGGATGGGAGAGGCCCCAGTAGTACCTCCAGAGTAGTATGTAGGTATGGGACAGGCACCAGGAGTACCTCCAGAGTAGTATGTACGGATGGGAGAGGCACCAGTAGTGCCTCCATAGTAGTATGTAGGAATGGGAGAGGTACAAGTAGTACCTCCAGAGTAGTAAGTAGGAATGGGAGAGGCACCAGGAGTACCTCCAGAGTAGTATAGGAATGGAAGTGGAATGGAACAGAGTATACTACAAACTCTGGCCATACAACAGAGCGGAAAAATAATGTAAGGGACCTGGGAGTGGTAATGTCTGAGGATCTCACTTTCCGGGATCACAACAGTGCCACGATCACAAGTGCAAAGAAAATGATAGGATGGATAATGAAAGCGTTCAAAACGAGGGATGCCAAGCCAATGATGATCCTTCTCAAAACACTTGTTCTCTCTAGGCTGGAATACTGCTGTACATTAACATCTCCGTTCAAAGCAGGTGAAATTGCAGATCTAGAGAGTGTACAGAGAACCTTTACTGCACGTATAAGTTCTGTCAAGTACCTTAACTACTGGGAACGCTTGGAAGCACTTGACTTGTACTCGTTGGAACGCAGGAGAGAGATATATATCATAATCTACACTTGGAAAATCCTGGAAGGAATGTTCCCGAATCTGCACACAGAAATCACTCCCTAAGAAAGTAAAAGACTGGGCAGGCGATGCAAAATACCCCAAATTAAAATAGGAGCGCCATTGGTACACTAAGAGAAAACACTATAAGTGTCCGGGGCCCAAGACTGCTAAACAGCCTCCCACCAAGCATAAGGAGAATTACCAATAAGCCCCTGGCTGCCTTCAAGAGAGAGCTGGAGAGATACCAAAAGTCAGTGCCGGATCAGCCGGGCTGTGGCTCGTACATTGGACTGCGTGCGGTCAGCAGTAACAGCCTGGTTGATCAGGCCATGATCCACCGGGAGGCCTGGTCGTGGACCGGACCGCGGGGGCGTTGATCCCCGGAATAACCTCCAGGTGATCTTCAGGTATCCAGGTAACCAGTAGCCCCAGAGTAGTGTAGGGGAAGAAAAAGTTGTGTAGTGGTGGGAGAGACGGGCCGAGGGTAACTTCATCTATCAGGGTAACTTCATCTATCAGGGTAACTTCATCTATCAGGGTAACTTCATCTATCAGGGTAACTTCATCTATCAGGGTAACTCATCTATCGGGGTAACTTCATCTATCAGGGTAACTTCATCTATCAGGGTAACTTCATCTATCAGGGTAACTTCATCTATCAGGGTAACTTCATCTAGCAGGGTAACTTCATCTATCAGGGTAACTTCATCTATCAGGGTAACTTCATCTATCAGGGTAACTTCATCTATCAGGGTAACTTCATCTTGCAGGGTAACTTCATCTAGCAGGGTAACTTCATCTATCAGGGTAACTTCATCTATCAGGGTAACTTCATCTATCAGGGTAACTTCATCTATCAGGGTAACTTATTCTATCAGGGTAACTTCATCTATCAGGATAACTTCATCTATCAGGGTAACTTCATCTATCAGGGTAACTTCATCTATCAGGGTAACTTCATCTATCAGGGTAACTTCATCTATCAGGGTAACTTCATCTATCAGGATAACTTCATCTATCAGGGTAACTTCATCTATCAGGATAACTTCATCTATCAGGATAACTTCATCTATCAGGATAACTTCATCTATCAGGATAACTTCATCTATCGGGGGTAACTTCATCTATCAGGGTAACTTCATCTATCAGGATAACTTCATCTATCAGGGTAACTTCATCTTCAGGATAA